TTTAATTTTTAATGAATATAATAAAATTTATCATATATATATATATATATATATATTAAAATATATATATGAATATAATAAATTATCAAATTTATGTGCAAATAATTAAAAAAAATTTTAAAAATATAGAAAAATGAATTGAAGTATATTTTTAACTTTGATTTTTATATTTTATCATTGTTCTCTTTTTGTCATAAAAGTACATAAAAGTTACATAAAAGTTTTTTACAATTAAATGTGATAATCTTAATAGCATAATTAAATATAAATATTAAAAATAATAAATGTCAATAATAAAAATTCATATATATTTCTTACTGTGCATGAAACCAAATGTATCACATCTTCACATATTCTGCCTTGTAACATGATAAAATTTACAAATAATAAATGTTTCTTATTCACGATCTTTGCAAAGATAAAACAAAAATTCTATAAAAATCAGTCCTAAATATTATTAAATAATTTGTACAAATATATAATCACAATGAAAACAAATATTAATATATTCTGACAATATATATATAATACTACTTCTGAAACCTAGAAAATTATTCAAAACTTGTTTGCATATTCAGAAAAATATTAAAATTTTTAATATTTTTAAAAAAGAAATTAAATATGAAAGATACTGATACTAAGATAAATCTGTCATCTAATTCATAGGTAATGAAATATATGTAGCGAAATAATATGAAAGCAATTATAAGTTTTAAATACACTTAACATAACTATGAGACTTTGCATTCTAATATTCTTGTTCTCATTATTTAGTACTGCTATTAAATTGTAAAATAGAACAAATATTTTTCTATAATATTTTGACATACTTCTCATTACGTTTTATCAACAATTTAAATGTAAAGTGATAATATTATAATTTCTACACATTATTTATATTCATATGTGTATGTATATAATAAATACATACACTGTATATTGAATTCGTTATGATAACACATATTTTGAAAAATATTTCAAATAACCAATTAATTAAAAAATTAAATTTTTACAAAATACGAATAATATTAATAATATCGAAAGCTCAAAACCACATATGGTAAGAGTAACAAAGCCTCTTCTTTGCTTTTGACATTATTTGATGCATTAACATTAATTACTTTGGCCTCAAATTATTGATAGAGTTAGATAATGTAAAATGTGCTGATGTTGAAAGAGTTGTAGTACATGTAGGGATCGAAATTTCACCCATAGTTGTAGTATTTGTTTCACTTTTATAACGAATATTAGTATATTCTCGCCCTAAATGAAGAGATTTCTGTAAAAATAATAGTAAATAAAATGTATATTAAAATATAATAAAATTTATATATAGAAATTATTAAAACTTTAAGATTTTCATAAAAATGTTAATTATAATGAATATAATTACTTGTTCGGCTTGCATTCGTTGAGATACAGTTTCAATATAATGTAATACAGCCAAATAAACAAACTTATATTGTGCTTCTGTTTGAACCATCCCTGATCTTTGTGAACGTACTCTTTGAATTGTTCTCTGAATATCAATTTCACAATCCAATCCTACAAATATAATATATATAAAATCTTGAATATATTATTATTAAAACAATCATTTTAAGTAAAAAATTAGTTATTAAAATATAATTACCATGACGCTTAATTTGATCAAGAATCATGTCGATAACAATAAATGTTCCAGTTCTACCAATTCCAGCACTACAGTGTACAAGAATTGGCCCTATACTTGTTACAGCTTGACCACTTGAAGCAAGAGAAGCAGCAATTGATTCTTGTCTCGCATTAACATCGTGAAGAAAATTTAATACACATCCGGGATCAGATGGAACACCATGATCAGGCCATGCCTAAGATATTCATATAATGTAATTGGTTTATTTTTTAAAACATAAAAAAATTATAAATAATAATAAGATACTTGAAAATGATAATGATAAATCCGTCTGGAATCTGCAAAACCTAATCTATTTCCATGTAATAAAAATTCTCGCAATGTATAATCTGCTGTTGAAGTACGAGATAAAGCCCGCACTTTCCATTCACCTCCATATTCTGTAACTTCACCTTCTTCTGGCCAATATCGAGCACATTTATTCTAAAAAATATAATTTTAAAATAAAATTTTAATTTAGATATAAGATTTATTAATAGCATACTTTTCCTCTTTCCATTTCTTTAGTAGTCATAACTATTACTCGTGTATTTTCTTGATATACCATATGCCAAAAATCTTGAATTGTATTTGGAAGGCAACCTTGAGTTGCAATATAACATTTATTAAATGAACCTCCATCATTAGAAGTATTAATTCCAGTACTTTGTCCATCACCTTCTTCATTCTATAAATATATATATATAAATAAATTTTAATATTTAATATATTTACGTACAAATTAATATATTCTATTAAAATATTAAATTTACCTTAATATAGTTAGCATTAATATAATCAGATCCAGGAATATTTGGATCAACATCCTTTAAACGCACTCTTGTATGATCAACTATAAAACAATTATTAAAATTTATGAACAAAGAAAATTAAAATAAAAAAATAAAAAAAGATCTTACATGGTAAAATATTTTTATATCGATTTTTTGCTCGATTTTCGGGACGTAAACCTTCTTTTCTGGAAAATAAATGGCGACATTCCAATTGTTGCAATGATTCAAATTCTTCCCAGAATCCAGCTTTTCCTTTACCACGTCCTGCACCACATTCATTGCTACTTGTAGCTCCATTCCACAACCATCCATTTGAACAACCATTTTCTTTATGTAATTGTCTTACTCTACTTTCAATACCACTGGCATTTATTCGAGTAGCATTAAAAGGTTGTCTAAAAAATAATAAATATATTATGAAATATATGAAATATAATATATTTTATGTATCAAATATAAATATAATAATATGAAATGTATCTTATAAATTAATAAATTTTTTTATATTCTTTACCGTAAATGAACAACACTTCCACTTGTTTCAACCATTGGATTACGTTTATAATGTTCTATTAGATCACTTAAACTATCAAATTTATCACCCCCTCCAACATCATATTTATTATCCTGTAATATTCATTATTTCCAATAACAAAATGTAAAAGATTTTATTTTTTAATAAATATGATAATATTAAAAATAATAAACATATGTAGTATAAAAGACAAAATATAATTAACCTGAGATCGTATTATAACATGTGTAACACGATCATCTGTGCGAACAGATAAGACAAAGTCACCAGGTTTACTCTGGGATTCACGAACCAGAAAAGATCCATTTTTACCTCGCTCCAACATTAAACGTTCTGCTTCTTTAGCTGATAAATGGCCATGGAACCACCTTTACCCATATTTTACTATTAACACATACCATGCTATATGCGTGCATTTGAAATAATAATAACAAAAAAGTATTCCAATACATAACAAACTTTGTTGTAATGTTTATTATGCAAAATATTATACATATATTTTGTTTTAATTGAACAAATACCTTTCAGTAGTTGGATCAGCACAATTTAATGGATATTTTAGTTCAATAATTTCTCCATTCTTTTCACGTAATTGTCCTCCATTTTCCATATAAAATTGTACAAGTTCTGATAATGTTGCAAATTTTTCACCACCATAAAGATCATAAAAATCTCCTGTATTTTGTATTTTAATATGGGTCACTTCACCATTACGTCTGAGAATATAAAAATATCAAATATTTTATGATTATAATAATTTTTTATATATCATGCATAATTATACAAACAAATACAATATGTTATGTATATACCTAACAGATAATGTAAAGTCACCAGGATTAGATGAACTTGGACGTGCCAAAAATGAACTATCATAACCCCGTTCCATTAATAGACGTTCTGCTTCTAAACCCGATATATTCGGATGGAACCATCTGTAATAAAAATATATAAATTTCTAGAATATAACTTTTTAAAAAATTTTAATAAAAAAGTAAACTATATTTCGATAAAACTTTATTTTAAAACATTTTATTTTGAAAAAATTTAATTTATTCAAATTACTTATTCTTACATCTAAACATAAAAATTATCACAAATATAATTTTTTAAAATTTACAAGTGTATATAACATAAAATACATTATATACATAACACAAAAGAAAAAAAATTGTTATAATAAAATAAAAATTTTTCTTACTTTCATTAAATATGAATTTATTCTATTGATTAATACAACAATTCAATCTTTATTTAATAATAATATTAACATGAATGAATTATAAATATTATTAAATTTGTTATATATAATTATTTAAAAATTTTCTTTTTGTATTATCAAAACATGCAATACAAAGTAACTATATAAAGTAAAAATATATATGATCAATACATATATAAAGTGAAATTATTTTACATCCATTTTTGGACATGAAGAATTCCACTTCTTGAATTGATTTAAATGCGTATACTTTACCTCTGAGTCTATTTGACTAATCCACGGTTAACACCAATAAATAAGTAGGCTTGTTCACAGATTGTCCGTGAATTGTGTTAATTACATATTTTTTTTATATAAAAACGTGCCTCACCTGCGAGATGCCATGTTGTGATTCCAACTATGACCAGCTAGTTATTAATAATTCATAATGTTTCATCGATGTTTGCACTTATAATATGCAATTATAATTACATTCAATTTAATGCTAACTATACATCGCCACAATCTTTGACATATTCACTTCACACAAAAACAAAAAAAATGGAAAACCCTAAAAGATTTTGTCATCGATCTGCAGTGCTTAGAATGGACACTTGTAAACTAAATGGAATGACAAAATTTAATATCGATTTCAAAAAATTATGTTGTAAATGAATAACTTCATTCTTACTTATAATAAATATTAAATCGTTTTAAAATTATATTATAATTGCAAATTAAGAAATTAAATCAATTTTCAATAAAATAATTCCCCAGAATAACATATGTTATTAAATTAGTTTATAAAAAATCAATATATATAAAACCAATAACAATATCTTTAATTTAAATATTAATAAATAAAATATATAAATGTTTTGTTATATATTTATAAAAAAAATTCTATATTTTAATGATTTAAGAATATAAGAACTATATATATGTTTATAATGTGTAATACATTTTTTTTTTTATATTAATTTTAACTTTTTACTATTTATTTTAATATTTTCAATATTGCAAAATTAATATTAGTAAAATAAATTTTATTTTATAACTAACTTAATAAAAAGAATATATTTTTTTCACATATTATCTATTTTGATTAGAAATATATGGTAAAATTATGATTGATTTAAAAAAAGATAAGTAAAATAATTTAAAATAAGACAAAAACAAATTTATAGTTAAATAAGATAAGAATTATATTAAAACAAATAATTATGTATATATTTTATATTTTTTGTTTAATATTAAAAAATAATAATATAATTTTATTAGAAGACGTCTTGTTATTGTGAACACTATAAAATAGGTTTATTGTTAATAAATCATTTCACTTACACGTTGATTTTCTTACTTATGATAGATTGCGCTGTAATCAGTACTTAAATGATTAATATAGTTGATTGTCGATAACGCCGGCTATGAAAAGCCGTACATTTTGTATATTTCTTGAAGTATACATTTAAATCTCATATGTAAATTGAGTAAAAATTATTAATAATTTAATTGGTAAAAGTAATTAAACTTTTTTTATTTGAAGATGGGCCAATATGTTTCAAGAAATGATTTCGAGTGGGTTTATACAGAAGAACCACATGCTTCACGACGTAAAATAATTTTAGGTATGAATATAAAATATATGATAAATATTTTAAATTTAATTTGAAAATAAAAATTCGATTAATTAACTATATTGAATAAAATTAATAAATATTAGAGTTTAGAAATTCAGATATAATTACAAATTTATATATATTTATCTAAAATTTATTTTAATAATTTTATAATATTAAAAAATTTTGTTTCTTTTTCAGAAAAATATCCACAAATAAAAAAATTATTTGGATATGATCCGTACTTTAAATGGGTAGTAACAGGAATGGTTTTAATTCAATTCATCTCTATGTTCTTTATAAAAGATTTAAGTTATCCAATGCTGTTTTTTTTAGCATATTGTTTTGGAGGTGTAATTAATCATTCTCTTATGTTAGGTATGTAAAAAATATTTTTTAATCATCTGTATTAATTTATATGAAATATTAAATATGTGTTATAATACAAAATTATAAAAGATACATATATTATAAAAGATAACCTTAGATTATCTTATATCAGTTTTCATCAAGCATTTCTTGATTATAATGTTATTTCAAGAGTAATGATTCATTACTTATCTAATAGATTATATTGTTATAATATATAGATTAATGAGTTTTCTTATTTTTATAAATATATAATATACTTATGTATTTTATTTTTTAACATTTTACTTATGATGATTATATTTATTATATTATATTTGATTAAATATATTATTTAGTTTTATTATATATATTATATTATTATATATATTTTTCTATCATTCTGTTTTTAGCAATACATGAAATAGCACATAATCTTGCTTTTGGACATAGTAGACCTAAAGCTAATAGATTATTTGGATATTTTGCTAATTTACCTATAGGTATACCAGTATCTGTTAGTTTTAAAAAATATCATCTTATACATCATCGTGTAAGTACAAATAAAATATTTAATTAAAAATAAATTAAATAAAATAATATTTTAAATAAATATAGATATATTTAATATATTTTATTCTATTATATATTTATTATATTTATATTTGTATTTATTTTAAAAAATAAATTACAGTATCAAGGTGATGAAAAATTAGATACAGATTTGCCAACATTATTAGAAGCAAAATTATTTTGCACTACATTTGGAAAATTTTGTTGGTTATGTCTACAACCATTTTTTTATGCATTTAGACCTCTTATTGTTTATCCAATGGCACCTACATTAATGGAATATATAAATTTTATAATACAATTTACTTTTGATGGATTGATATGGTATTTTTTAGGTAAATATTGATAATACTATCAATATACTACTGTTATATGATATACTATGTTATATTATGTTATGTGAATATATTTTATTATTTATTATTAGGTGGAAAAGTTTTAGTTTATTTACTTTCTGGATCAGCAATGGCAATGGGTTTGCATCCTGTAGCTGGACATTTTATATCAGAACATTATATGTACAGAAAAGGTTTTGAAACATATAGTTATTATGGTCCATTAAATTGGATTACATTTAATGTTGGATATCATAATGAACATCATGATTTTCCTGCTGTTCCTGGTTCAAGACTACCAGAAGTAATTTAAAAAAATTAATAACAAGAATTATTTATATCTTTTTAAAAATATTTTATCTTTTATAGGTAAAACGAATAGCTTCCGAATTTTATGATAATTTACCACAACACAACTCTTGGATTTCTGTTTTATATGATTTTGTTATGGATCCTGATATAGGTCCATATGCAAGGATAAAGCGAAAACATAAGGGACTTGCTTCATAAAATTGAAATTTTTTTAAATTTTTTAATAAATAATTTTGAGATTAGCATCTGAAACTTAATATTGCATGCACATTTAAAGGAAAAAGTATTATTGTTAATTTATTGTTATATATATTCAGTATTAAAAAAAATGCATACATTCTATGCAATAGTAAAATATTTTGAAAAGATTATTAATAATCAGATATTATTATATAAATTATTAACATTTTTTAGTTTTGGTATACTTGAAAATATTTATAAAATTATATAATGAAATAAGTGAAAGATGCTAAATTAACTATTTTTTATTTCATAGTGTTTGTAAATAATTGTAATAAAATGTAATAAAGAATACTGAGTTTCTATATGTATAATGATAAGTGCTATAAATATAAATGAAATTTCATAATTTTGTAATCTAGTCATAATAAAATAAGTTTTTTCTTATAAACAATAATGCTTTATTTGTATAAAAATATAATAGAAAATATTAGATTAATAAAATAGATTAAGAATTCTTACATTAAAATTTTATATGATAAATATTAATTATTATTTATTAATTAAAGCTTTTTTAGTCGTATTTTTTTTTAATATTAATATATTGTCTTAATTGATTTTAGAATTTAAAATTATTCAATAATATTTTATTTTAATCCAATTTTCAATTTACCAACTTTATCTATCTTAAAATTCCTATTCAATATTAATAGCAATTCACATCTATTTTTCTATAAAATATAAAATATATTTTTATTTATATAAATATATTATTTAATATATTGATTATATATGATATATAATAGATAAAAATTTATATAATCTTAAAAATTTAATATCTTAAGTTTTATATTAATAACAAAAATTATAATATCAATTTTATCATATAATTAATATTTATTAAAAATATATTAATCAAGATTATTCATATATATTAATAATTTTTTCGAAACCATAAACTGATGAGAATTAATAAAATTATATTTTGTAAGAATTTTATTACAATAAAATTATAAAACAAATTTGTTTAAAAAACCATATAATTTGTTAAAACAAAGATGCCTGCCTGTATCTGTTTTATCTAGAAATGGTATGAATAGTAAAAGTAAAATACTATTTCTGATTAAAAAAATAATTTATATTTTGTATATCTTAATAAATATTGGTATTTTAAATGTTAATAGCAAAAGAGAAGTAATTAAAAGGAGATAATTTTCTACAATTTATCGAAATATGATTTCATGTAATAAAGATATTCTCGATTGCGTGTGTACGCTTTATGTAAAGTGTCTGCAATGGTGCATCGGTTTGATAATGGTAAAAATAATGTTTACATGAATGATATAATTAGGCACACATGTATATCTATAATACAGTGAATAGAATGGGAAAACAAAACGGATCTTGTTGGTGGTTTGTGAAAGCCGTAAAATGGATACCAGTTATTTTCATTTTGACAATTGTCTTATGGTCCTATTATGCTTATGTAGTGCAGTTATGTTTTTGTAAGTATTTACATTCATTTGATTTTTAATAATAAAGATTTTATAATAAAAATGAAATTTAAATCATATTTA